GGGATATATTTTGGTACAAGAAGAGGTTCAAGAGTCCTGTTAACTCCCCAGTTCATACACTACAGGTGCCCCGTCCCCTGGGGAGGGGACTTGGGCTCTATTACCTCTCCAAGGGGCTCTATGGTCACCCCTGCCCCTGGGGGCCATTTCCCCATTATCTACCCTCCCCCCAGCCCAAAAGGAGGGGTGAGGGGGAAGGACTTTCAGTTAATATTAAGGTGGGTGTTGTTGTTTTAAACAAAATGGAGAAGCATAAATAAATAAAAGGGTTTATCTCAAAAAAAGAGTTTATCAAATTGATAGATGTAAGGTATTTGAACATAATAATACAAAATGGTGAGAGGAAGTGTCTTAAATATTGTATTTTTTATTATTCATGATTAGATATAGCCTAGCCCATGTGGCTCAAAAGTTGAGTGTCGACCTATGAACCAGGAGGTCACAGTTCGATTCCCAGTCAGGCTACATGCCTGGGTTACGGGCTTCAACCCCAGTAGGGGACGTGGAGGAGGCATCCAGTCAATGATTCTCTCTCATCATTGATTTCTCTCTCTCTCTCTCTCTCTCTCTCTCTCCCTCTTCTTTCCTCTGAAAAATCAATACAAATATTTCAAAAAATAAGAAGAGATATAAATACCAATTGAAGAATAATTACAAGGAATAAACAAAATCCCCTGCTTGCAAAAGGTTCAACAAGAGCAACAAGAACAAGAGGAGATCCAGATGTAATTGGACTCAAGAAACTCCCACAGACACTACAGAGTAAAATCAATGGTCATGTGATATCACAGAAATGTTCTCATTTATGATTAAATGCTGGGATGTGTTATAACAATAATTCTGAGGTTGGCATCGATGAAAAGGGAGAGGAGAGCTGCTCCTAACTCTACTGCGTATCAGCACCTACAGATGGGAGACCAGAAGCTCAGGTGGTGACCAGGTAACTCCTGGGCAAGGGGAGGATAAGATGCCAACTACAGTGTGTCTGGGCCTGAGAATGGAGAGAGAGGAGCAGGGGGTGGGGATGAGTGGGCAGAACAAACAGAGAAAGAAAGAGGGGAGGGGAACAAGCCAAATGGGAGAAGCACAGGCAGTAACAAGGGGCCATCAGTGGGTGTGTATTATTGTTTATTTCTGTATCTTAGGATGTTTTGAGCCATTAAATGGATTGAAAGCCAAGGAGACACAGGGCCTCCCAGGGCGGCCCATTCTCAGAGACAGTAAAGAACTTCAGATGCAAACCAACCCGTCCTGAGCCCATATTCCCAGCCTCCCCACCTGCCCCAAATCACCCAGGACCTGGGACCAGACACACAGAGACCACGCCCACAGGCCCATCCCCCAGACTGACACACACCAGCTGGTCCTCAACTGCTCACCCTGCCCTGCCTTGCGTTTCCCATGGGACCCCAATCAAGGCCTTCGCTAGGCGGCCCTGCACCTGCATCTGCTTTCTGAGGAAATCCAGGGTTTCCCGGGCACAGCGGCCCCTCCTCTCAGGAGGTGAAAGGAGTAAAAGTCTTCTCTCCATGGCACTGACTCCCCTTGGCGTCACTCAATCACTTCCACACACTGAAACCCCAGGGGCACATTTGAGGCAGGTGAGTCAAGAGCTTCCAGGGAGAAGGTGCCATTGATGTCCCAGGACGGTCCCTCTAGCCTGGTGTCCGCACCTCAGTCCCATCCTGAGAGGACGGAGGGTCCATCAGGAGCTCTGCCTCCTCCTCCGGGGCCTCCACACCTGCAGGGCCCACACAGGTGTCAGCTCAGAGACTCGGCCTCTTTGGCTCCAACTCCAGGCAGAGCCGGACATCTCGGCCCCACCTGCACCTCAGGGCCAATCCCTGACCTTCCCCGGGGGAGACAGGCCTGCTCACCTGGTGTAGTAGAGCCAGGTGAGGACGTAGGTGAGGAGGAAGCCAGCCCCCATGAGGGCCCCTCTGATCAGGGTGAAGACCAGGGGCCAGGAGCCCTGCGGCTCCTGGGTCACACATCTGCTGGAGTGCGGGTTGTCTGGGTACACGGGAGAAGGGTGACCTGTTGTCCAGGACTCAGTCCACCCACAACCCCAACACCTGACCGGATGGCCTGCCCCACACCTGTCCTGTACCTTACTCTGCTCAGAGAGGCTGAAGGAGAGGAGCTGGGAGCCCAGCAGGTGAGCTCCCCTCCACCTCCAGGCCCCACATGGGGCATCTGGGATAGAAAGATACAGCCCCACTTCAGATGGAAGTCACCCCAATCCCAAGGAGCACCAGTGGGAAGCAGGAAGGTGGGAGAGCTGTCCTTCTGGCCCCCTCCCCACCTACATGCACATCCATGGGTGAGTGTTCTCAGGTTAGCTCAGCCTCCTGCACACCCACACACACAAACACACACACACACGTCGCTCCCACTGCCCCCATGGACTCAGCCACCCCTCCAACACTCACAGGAAACATTGAGCCTAACGGTTCTCTGCATGGCCACCAAAGATCCTTGGACTTGGACCTGACAGGTGAGGTTGGTGCCATGGTCCTGGGGTCTCGGGGTGAAGGTGAGTGCCAAGGAGCCGAGGGTCTGGGGGTCCAGCAAATCCACAGCAGCTCCAGCCCAGGAGAAGGTGAGAGGTCGTCCCCCTTCACAGGACCCTGGCAGGCTGCAGGCCAGCTCTGTGGGGCAGCCGGACTCCAGAGGCTCCCTCATCCAGATGTGGGGTTTCTCTGTCAGGGCTGCAGGGGAGAAAGGCAGGTGCCTGGGCTCCAGGGGTGGGGACTCAGAGCAGGACCCTGAGAGAGGCCCTGCCTCGGGCTGAGCTCCCCAGGCCCTGTGTCTCTTCCCACCACCCAGGGACCACGGCCTGGACAGGGAGTGTCCAGTGTCCTGTTGCTGTTCTAAGATGGGGTCCCTTTCCTTGGGTCCTTTCCAGGGCCCCTGCCTTACCTGTCACCTGCAAATTCAGCATCTTATCTAAGTAACTATATCTCACAGAATTTCCTATCTCCACTCGGAGGTAGTAGCGTCCTGTGTCACTCCTCCTGGCGTCTCTGATTTGCAGGGAACAGTTGTTGGTCGTGGGGTCTGTGAGGAGGAAGCGGCCTTGGGTCTCCATCTTCCCTGGTATATCTGGGTTGCTCGAGGCCACAGGATGGTTTCTGTTGTCCCTGTACCGGTACCAGTAGGTGTAGACTTTGGTAGAGGAAGACCACGAACTCCACGGGTAGAAGGAGCAGGGCACGTGGACACACAGACCCTCCTGGACTGTCACCGATTCCTGCACTTGGAGCTCATAGCCTGGCGGCTGCTGCAGCGACCCTAAAGGAGAGGACACAGCTCAGATGCAGCTCCTGCCCCTCCCCAACCGGCCTCCCTCAGTCACTTACTCCCCCACAGCAGGGGCAGCAGCAGCAGGGGCACCATGTCTGCCTCTGGCAGGGCAGAGTGGGTCCGGTCCCTGTGTCAGGGAGCGAAGTGCCCAGCACTGGGGTGGAGCTAAGGACACCCCAACAGGAAGTCCTGGGGGAGAGACTATGGCCAGGCTGGAAGGGGAACTTGGCCTGCACAGGACATGGGGGGTGAGGTGGTGGCTGAGAAATCTTTCTGTCTCCCTCCCACACCTGACCCTGCAGCTAAATGTACTGAGGCCCCCGGTGGTTCAGAGGCGTGTACAGATGTGAATCTGAAAGTGACCCCCTTACAGAGGAGGTTTAATTGGAGAAGGAGGTCGCCCAGGGGCCAGCACACTCAGACCTGGTCCTGGTGACTCGGGCGCGTGGAGGGGGGCGAGGTTGGGGTGGGGGGACCTGTCGTCCAGCTGGAACTGTTGAACATTCTTGCAAATGATCACTTTAATATATTTTTAGACCAAGTGCTGGCAAAAGAGAGAGGAATTTAGACCCAATTCAGTGGAGGGTGGAACCCAGGGGCAATGCTGAGTGTTAAAGGCCTTGACTCTGAGGGCTTCTTGGGGACGTGGGACACACCTGTGCTGGCTCAAAGGTCTGAGTGTCTAAGGAACAAGGAGGGTGCACAGGGCCAATCAGAAACGGACACCCCATTTGGCGGGACCTCGGCACAGCAGCAACAATGCCACCTGAAAGCTCATGAAAATCCACCTTCCTGGCCCCTCATCACTGGGTCCCTGTTCCCAGACCCACCCAGGCTGATGGGAAGTGTTCCCTTTCTGCTCTATCTGTGTCCCAACGCGGGGTTAACAACCCCTGACGTTCCATTCCCACTGCTGGAGCACATAGGGGGCTTCTGTGTGCCTCGCTGCCTTTGACTGATGGAATCTCAAGGGAGGAACCAGTGAGTGTGGGGGATGTCAAAGGCCTTCAGGGGACATTGCAAAACTCAAATGCAGCCGAAACCAGTTTGGCTCAGTGGATAGAGCGTCGGCCTGCGGACTGAAGGGTCCCGGGTTCGATTCCGGTCAAGGGCATGTACATGGGTTGCGGCCACATCCCCGGTGGGGAGTGTGCAGGAGGCAGCTGATCGATGTTTGTCTCTCATCGATGTTTCTGACTCTCTATCTCTCTCCCTTCCTCTCTGTAAAAAATCAATAAAATATATTTTAAAAAAAAAACTCAAATGGATTCCATAGCACAGTGACCAACAAAAAACAGGATGGTACAAAAGATGTCATGGACACATCAAAACTGACGATGTTCCTGGAATAGTCAGAGATGCACATCACAAAAATACACTATGCACTTCCTCAGGGGAGGAAATCATACATCTTTTTGGGAGGACATTACAAGTGTAAATAGATAGCCCTGGCTGGATAGCTCTGTTGGTAGAAGCATCGTCCCTACAGCACATTGGTGGCAAGTTCAATTCCGGGTCAGGACACATCCCTAGGTTTCCATACCAGCTCAGGGCAAGTATGGGAAGCAACCTATTTATGTTTCTCTCTCCCTTTCTTTCTCTCTCTCTCTCTCTCTCTCTCTAAAACAAAACAAAAAGAATTTTTAAATTGAATTTATTGGGGTTGCATTGGTTAATAAAATTATATAAGTTTCAAGTTGAACTTATTTCTTCCTGACATATAAAACTAGACACTGATCTGAAGATTAACCCACTTTAGATTGGCTTTGGCCTTCTGAAACCCCCAAACCCATTTTCACTGCCAAAGGTCACTATCAAGGACTTCTTACTTGCCAACCAAATAGACAATGTTTAGACATTTAACCTCCATACTATTTGTTAAGGTTGAGCACATGCTTCTTCTCCTCCTCCTCCCTGCCTTCTTTCCCTTCTCCTTCTCCTCCTCCGGCTTCCTCCTCCTCCTCTCTTCTTCTCCTCTCTTAAAAACTCACAAGCTTCTTATAAGAGAGAGAGAGAGAGAGAGAGAGATTTACAAATAAACTAATGACGAAACTTTTGTGGAGGTCAGACTCACATGACATAAAATTTCTAATGCTAGTTTTGGGTGTGTGACCTTTGGAGCTGCTTATCACTACACTTCCCCCATCACTTTCTGTACCGTGGGCCTACTATGCTCCTTCACTATACCTTCCTTGTCCATGTAGGAATCTGATTTGGGGTTTTGAATATTAATGCCCTGATGCACCAAGCAAAACCCCTACAGGCCTAAGGAGTTCTTTCATGGTTCTGTAGGATTACTGATGTTGTGTCTCTCTTCATGACTTTGTTGGCCATTTGTATATCTTCTTTGGAGAAATGTCTGGTCAAGGTTTAGCTCATTCTTCAATTGTTTTATTTTGGTTTCTTATGCTGTCTTGTATGAGTTTGTAATGTCTCACTCTTTTTTTATCTTTTTTGTTTGTTTGTTTCTGTAATCCTCACCCAAAGATACTTTTTTCACTGAATTTAGGGAGAGTGGAAGAGAGGGAGTGAGAAGGGAGAGAGAGACTTACAGCATCCAGGTCTATGAGCAATAAATTCCTGCCACTTAAAAACTACCAGTCTATGGTCTGTTGTTAAAATATCCAGAACAGTCTAAAATTACGACCTTTTATTTCAAATATATTGTTATTTATTTCAGAGAGGAAGGGAGTTGAAGAGGGAAATGGAAACATCAATGATGAGAGAGAATCACTGGTCAGCCACATTCTGCATGCCCGACACTCGGGATGGATCCCACAACCAGGAATGGAACTGTGATCTCATGGTTCTTAGGTGAACACTCAACCTCTGAGGCACACTAGCTGGCCATGGCCTTTTCTAATGCATTAATCCACCAATGGATATTTGGGTTGCTGACAGATTTTGAGTAATATGAATAATGCTGCTATAGATATGGGAGTGCAGATATCTTTTTGAGGTCCTGTTTTCAGTTCTTTTGGGCATATAACCTCAAGAGAGGATGGTACATGATATGGTAATTCTATAATTAATATTTAGAGTAACTGCCAGAAACCAAGGTGGCAGCATAGGTAAACACCAGAGTTTGCTGCCTCGCACAACCACTTCAACTCCTGAGCCACAGCGTCCCTAAAAGACGGAACGGATATCATCCAGAACCACAGGAAGTTCTGGCTGAGTGGAAATTCTACAACCAGAAGGAAAGAGAAAAGCATACCAAGACTCAGAGGAGGGGCAGTGCAGACGTAAAATACTAAGGTACAGAGGCGCACGCGGAGTGGGCTGGTGGCTGAGGGCGTGGTTGTCTTTTTCAATCAGGAGGGAGTTTCAGGCTTTGAGCTCCAGTTCTGGGCGAGTCTCTGGGGACCCAGACTCATATGGGAGAAGCAGAACTGTCTGGCATCCGTCGGAACTCGGGGGCAGCTTTCTCTCAGAGGTGCTTGCAGCAATTGCCGGGACACTGAGAAAGCGGGGCCTCTGAGGGCAGCCATAACTGCTAGCCCTGCCCTGTTGATCTCGTGGGACCTGCCCGGCCCAAGCCCTGCAGGGAGGCTTTTGCTGGATAGCCTCAGGCTGAGGCTAGATTAGCACCCCCCTATTGATCCAGGAGCCATTGTGCCCAGTGGTCAGAGTGGGACCATCCAATTGGCAGCTCCTCAGATCCATAAAGGACACACTCAGGGGGCAGACTCAGTGAGCACCACAGCCCCACTGAAGCAAGTCTTGCCCTGGAGGGGTGTCTCCAGCTCACAAGTTCTCCCACTGCAGACACAGCTGATTCTCATAGCCAATTGGCCTGGAGGTCAATTCCTCACAGTGATACCTACAAGAATCAAGGCATAACTACAACAAGCCTGTGCACAAAGCCCACAAGGGGGTGCACCAAGAGTGTCCACCTCAAGTAATGGGGGAGGCTGAGCCACTGGGCCCTACAGGACACCTAGCACACAAAACCACGCTACCAATACAGGGAAGCGTAAAAAATGCGGAGACAAGAAACAGGTCACAAATGACAGAAATGGAGGAAAGCGAACGACTGGATATAGAGTTCAAAACAGCGTTTATAAGGTTTTTCAAGAATTTTATGGAAACCGCCGATAAATTTAGTAAGACCCTCAAAGAGTCTAGTGAGACCCTCAAGGACATGAAAAAGGACCAACTATAAATTAAGCATACACTGACTGAAATAAAGAATAATATACAGAGATCCAACAGC